CGCAGAATGACGGTTTTTGCTCTATGGATATTCATACCTTCCAACTCCCTTGACAGCTGGTGTAGAGCACTGGCAAGAGGCGCCGCTATCACCAGCATAAGTCAAACTCTGTACAGTTTTCGGTCCGTTCGTCTCTCATTCCGGTTTGTTTTAGTTATTTGATCTTCATGCTTAATAAATGTATAGAATTTCTCGAAAAAGCACCGAACTACCTCCTTGGCCATTATACGAGCCAATTTTCGATGACCAGGTTAGGTTTAATCCTATAGTAGCGGCTTATCCGAAGCATTTGTACTCCATTACTTTTTGGAAATCAATGAAAATATCGTTTCTCATCACTGTTAACTATGGAGCGAATTTAGGGGAGGGAGTTGTGTTATAAGGCGCACGCTCCGCCCACCGTGAGAAGCTCCTCCCACAGACCGCTGTATCGACCGCCATCTAATCGACCGTTCAGTTTCTATTCTCATACATACTGTAAAGTAACAAAATAAGGTCTGTGACAGATCGTTGACTGATCCAATAGAAAGTAAGGTAAAAAGTAAACAGGTAATATCAGTGATGTTGATGCGTCATACGCTGCTCGTCACCTATTTGATTATAGGAACACCTGAAGTTCTGGTATCATCGCGTGTGGCACTGATAGGCCATAAAAGCTCTGAGTCACTGCGAAAGAACTCTTTATCAAAAAATTCATGCTACTTGGGGTGAAATTTCTGTCATTAGGGAGTGCAAATCTATCAGATATCAAACCTGGACAAATTAGTCGGAATGTCTGGTATTCCCTTTTACATAGACTTCCAAGGAAAACGTGATATCATTGACGACAGGGGGAAGAATTCTGAGCCTCGTCAATCTTTTCGAAGTCTGCGACAGGGTTGTCTAGACTGGATTTTTTGGAATGTTTTCTAATTAATCATCTGATTAGTCCATATTTCATGAGCCCTGACAGGAAAAAGCAGCCTTTTCTGTATTCGTAAGAAAGGTCCGAGTAGATTTTCTCGACTAAATGCCTCTTCATGCGGCATAGTTGCTTCGCTTTCTCCTTTTTCTCCTTTTTTTCTGTAGTGCTTTTCTAATGCATCCACTCTCATCATTCATCTTCTTTCTTTCCTTTTTTTACAGTAAATAGTATAAACCGGCTAAGTCTATTCGGCCGCCCTCATTTTCAGATAACCCCTGGTCAACTACCCTATGACGGTACCCATTGCACAGCACTACTCCTATTCTATTTTCACGCTTGGGCCAGGGTAGGAACTTAGATAAGATATAAGAACGCCCTGAAAAATTCATCGAATTGAAAGGGCTCAGCCGTCTTTGGAGCTTACATTAGATCTAAAAAACTGTGCTGCAGTATTTCTAATGTTTTGCATCTGCCTACGATGAAAAACTTGCTCTCCTTTGCACTTCGTTGGCTTCAATTTCACTCTCCTCACTTGGTTTTTCATATTTTATTCCAGTCCAATCTTCTAAACTTCTTTTCCAACGAATTTGTGCAATCGATATTCGCATTTATTTCTCAACAGTGCTTCTGTCTGGTAGTTGTCTTTATTGCCATCGACTCGCTTTCAGTCGAAATTCCGCTCTTCTAACGAATTTTTCGTCTGGTTCACTTGTTTACTTGTTTGTTTACGGTCCGTTTGATTGATATGACTTTGGCTCATAATCTGAACCAATAAACTGGTAGCTTATCGAATTAATCAGTGCGAAGAGATTAGGGACGATGTTTTGTTAGGTTTTCTTATATTACATTAGCTGGACGGCGAAGTAATGTTGACATTAGAGAACAGCGTTCACAACAAGTAATACCAGATCGGTTACGATGATTTATTACAAGCAGATCTTTATCATTACGATAACATCGAAAAGTGGTAATCGGTTGAGATCGGAGCTCAATTGAAGTTCACATTCACATAGGATGTTTCAGAGATCCGGGCTAAGGGAATCAAACTCATTTCTATTTCCTCCCAGACCATTAGTTACGGAATTACTCTTTTTTAAATGAGAAAATGAATTGAAGTTAACTTTCACAGAGCCTCCCACATGTGATCGATCCCCAACGTCCAGCCGGCTTCTCTTATGCGAGCGTTTCTCGGTGATTGGAGCATTCAAGCAGGAATTAATTAAAATATTTGCTCTGCAGCTGCTCAATTCACTTCAAAGGCGTAGTTCCGGATAGGAATGGTTTCAGGGATTTCGCTAGAATGAATCTGTGGCCCCCCAGAATAGTACATGGGCCGTTGTCGGGCCGAAAACGGCTCATACAGGACGTAATAAGGGCTCCAAAACCGGTTCGGCAGGCTCAGACAGAAGCAGCCGTGTTGTGCTGACCTTGTAATACTGCACTATCCACAGGATGAGACGAATAGTGCGCTTATATGAGAGACACCCAGACGGCCATCTCGTACAAATCCTATTTTTGCTACTTTTCTGAAGTGTTATATTTTTCAAAATCCAACAATTTTCGCCCTTTTTTCGCCACTCTTACCACTCTGTACTGTGGCTTCTATTATTTTACTCAAAATAGATCCTTCGAAATTATTGTGGGCTGTGCCTTCGAAAGTAGGACATCAACGGGGCCTAGTAATGAAATGCGTGGCTCACCTTGCCGGATTGAGTTTCTTATGGTTCATATATCGTGTATGGGTTCTGACAATAGTTTTTCATGTGCTCGTCATCACTCCACGTTCGGTCCTCTTTCTAAACTCAATCAAATCAAATAGTAAAGTAAAATATTTTGCCAATTTTTTGAAAAATTAGCCAAAAAAGTAGCAGTGAAAATTGCTGAGGCTAAGTAGTCCATCCCCCCCCCCTTACTCTCTGAAAATTGCTGACGTAAGCTTTGCATTGACTGATGACAGACGAAGTTTTACTTGACGTTCTGACACATCGCATACTCGTCCAATAAGAGGCGGAACAGCTTTCGGAAGCGTTATGGATTACGCTTCATAATTTACGATGCCCTTTCTAACCAACGGATCATTTCCGGATGGCTGATTTTTAGGGTGCATCACTTATTCGCACCTTCCTATCGTCCTCTCGGTCTATGAAAATCCCAGCTGATTTTTCTAAGTTATACCCAGAGGAATTCGTTGGTACAGTTACAAATGATTCTCGAACGTTCCCATAGAAATGTCACATCAAAGTGAGCTAGGCAACGGACAAAAGCCAGTGGACCTTTTGACTCAATATAGTTTCACGAGATCGAATCCATTTCATTGTGAGACCGAAAATATCCCTTCAATTTCGAGTGGTTACCAGAATCGTCGGTAACAATAACTGCATTCACTCTGACGTGAACTGGCTTGCAAATTGTTCAATAGAGCAATACGGCGGCTTTGTCATTCTGAAAAGGAATGGAAATGTCAAGTACACTTCAGTTATTGGTCATCATGAAAAGATCTTTCCCTATTGGGACAACCAGGTACGGGTAGGTATACCTACATCTAAATGCATTCCCATTCCTCATGGGTTGAAAAAATTCCGAAGGACGACTTTTGTATAAACAGAAAAATCTTGAGTACAAAGTTCAGTTCTGATCACATTATCGGTCTTTATGAGGGCAATACCTTTTATGCAGCGTTATACCCATTATATTGAATAACGCGGGTTATGGGCTGTGTTGTAGAGGTGAAGGAGCATCCCACAGTCCCCAAATACCTCCTTCACCAGCAAGCTCTTGCTCCAGTAAATTTGCGCATTTTGTGCATTTTTTTAGCCATTCATTCCTCTCATATTCGATCAGCAGCTCGATCCACACATACATTTGACTCATCTTGAACTCATCTTCGAATAAAAGTGTCTCTTGGAAAAGTAAACCCCCTGCCATCGCAACGGCATCCGACTTCCATGCAGATCATAGTGGCTGTTTGAATGCGTATGTAGACTTCACAAGGCCTGGGGTGATTACCCAATTCACTAGACGATTCTTTTATCCTCTCAGCTAAGTCTACTACCAGCTAAGCGATTCCGGAGGTATGGAAGGCTTGATTGTCTGGACTGATGTCGATTTGATCCCGCGATCATACTCGTGATAGTGAACTGCTTGCCAGTACACCAGCAACACCCAATTCTATGTAAGCGGAATTAAAATTAAATTATTTAATCAATAACTCGTGACGCAATGGCCTCGATGATTTGCATATTTTTTTTTTCGAAGAAAAAACTAATTTAATTCAAACTGCAAAATTTAAACTGCACTCGAGAACTCATACAGAAGTGCAGGAAGTTGTGCTTGTGTAGCTCAACAGAAAACAAAGTGAAAAAATAAATAAATAGAAACCCACGGGAAACAGGAACAAGATGTCTTCTCCAGACAGCTTCAGCAGGGATTTGCTTGTGTCACTAAACAGAATCCGGACTGGAATTAAAGAGAGCATCCCCGACACATTATAAAGTTACGGTTCTATTATTTGCCTGCGATTTTGGGCTGATTAAGTTGATTCCAAGGTAGTAGGGTGTTGAGATGTTTAGTCGGATAACTCCTTCGGTTGAGCCTACCCTTTCAGGCTTCGAAGAAGGCGAATTAGGGAAGAAATTAGCCGTTTAAGGTATCTATCAACCTCATGTGTAGCTGAACGAATAAACTCATTCCAAAAACTTCACTAGATGCTCTCACGTTGGCGAATTCTGGGCAAAACTTTTTTTTGAATACGACTGAAACTTGTACTTGTGTTTCTCGAGTACCGTACTCTTTATTCCTTACACTTCCGAAAACCCGTTACGGTTTCGAGCTCTGTCTGAGGCGGAGTTCTGTCCATAATTCGCCAACCGTGTGAGACTTCCCGATCACGTACATACTGCGGCAGAATAACAGTATTTAACAAAATATTGAGTCAAAACATACTGGTAAAGGCCTTTTCTAGATATTTCTGACAAAAAATTGCTCGGAGAGCAGGTTTCAGTACAGAATTTTTATCAAGACTGGCGATTACAAATAGTAAGGCAGATGATAGGGAAAAAAACGTAATGGAGCCAGTTCAAGCACGTCTCTTGTCGTTATGTTCTTCTTTCAATCGTGTAATCGACCGATCCCTAGCTCCGTTGGTGGTCGCACCCCAATGATCGTTCTTGCTCGTTGGCGTACCGTTCGCTCTCGTTTGCACTTTTCTCACGCCAACGTTTTTTTTTCAGATCACATCACATCTCGTATGTGTAGTGATGGCTTTGGATGGGAACGAGCGACGTTTCATCGTCGACGAGACACTTCGTCTCCGATCACCACCGGACGTCCCTGCATCATCAAACGTCGTCCTCCGTCCACAACGTCTCTACTGTCCACGAGGTCTGATAGAGCATTAACCTTCTCAGACAAGGTCCATCACATATTACTGTAGAGCAAAATTTAAAAAATGGACATGAAAAATTCGAAAAAAATCGGAAAAAAGGGAAGAGTCTTCCTCAACTACCAGGTTGGCAGCTACGATTTACCTCAAAACGATAACAAAGTACCACTTTTTCAAGGTGATTTACTTCAATTGACCAGATCCCTGGGTATTTTATAGTCAATATATCAAAATTTAATTGAGCGGNTGTTTTTTTTTTGGAAAAGGGTATTTCTACTTTCCTAAAACATGCTCAGTTACTTGGTTACCAACCTTCTATGTAATAATACAAATTTGCTTTTCTTTTTTTCTTTATTTCAATTCTCATTCTCTCTTTTGTTCCATGGCCCTGGTTATCAACCTCTATGCCATTTACCCATTTACACTTTTTCCAAGAATTTTCTTCTACTCGGTAGGTTTGGTGAAAGGCTCGGGACGAGAGAAGGGGCGCATAAATAAAATAAATTTAAATGAAATCGATTTGATGGTTAAGGACTGACTCACTAATTGATGTGCTACCATAATCCAAGTCGGTTGTCTCTTAATGATTGTCAAAAAATGAAAAATTCAAAAAAATTAAAACAAAGGAAGCAAGCTGGCCCCAGCCATTAGGTAGGCAACTATGTAGGTCCCTCCGTACCTTCCAAGTACTTTGAACATTCTTCTTGAAGAGTAACTACCCGTTTTCAAGCTGAAATAGACTCGTAGATAAGGTACTTTAGTATTTCATAGTCAATATATAATTGGGTGAATATTTCTGTTTGTTGAAAAAATGGTGATTTTTTTCTCTGAGGTATGCACAATCACTAAGCTGCCAATTTTATTTGTAACTATGCGATTTTTATTTTCTTTTCTAACTTTTTTTCTTGACTATGGTGTTTTTTTCGTTCTCAGGCCTGCTGTTCAAACTCTCTATACTCGAGAAAAAGTTCGTCACAGTTCTGATGTCTATTTACATTTTCTTCTGGTTTCAAGGGATTCGCCAGTTTCCTGGGTTTGATAGATGACTCAGAACGGGTGAAGGAGCGCATAAGTAAAAGAAAAACAAATAAAATTGAATTGATGCTTGAGGATTGTTCCGTAATTGATGTATTACCCTAGTAGTCGGAATCGGTTCTTTCTGAATAATTGTCAAACCGTTCAAACCGGAATTCGTGAAAAAAAAAGGCTGTGCTCTTCTGTTTGCGCCACAGCCATCATCATTATTCCCGCTGTTGAATGTGTAATTGATTCGGATGGAGGACCACCCCTAAGCCATTGGTTACGCTTGAAAGTGATGGCGATGTCTGTTAGTGATTGATAGCTTTTGTTCTTCTTACACACCATGCTCATGTTCAATCACATTTGCTTTTTTGATATTCATTTTCTTTGACAAAGTGAACTTTTCTTTTTTTTTAGTTTGATGTTCTGAAAGCCAATTAAAAACGTCCACGGCTTTCAAGCAATTTATATAGCTTCATTAAAGTTGAATGATCCGAGAAAAATCGCTCAGCAGGAGGTCCACCCACAGAAAATATGGGTTCCTGTTGGCAGCCTCGTTTTTTATGGGAACGGAATCGATTAAGTTGAGGAAATCATGACCGTTTGACTTTCAAGCACATTTTTATTTGTTTTACTTGCTTATTTATTTATGACTGTTTTCGATTTTGCTTACAAACATGGGGAACATGGCCTGACCCGGTTCTGACGATTTCGTTCAACGTGAAGTAGGCATTACCCAGTGATGTCACTTGTCCTGGGCACAGTGCATGAGGGTAGGGTTGTTCCCTACCAACACCCAAAGCCTGCCATCTCTTCTTACAAGTAGTTGCAAGATTTGTACAGTATGATTCCAACGGTTCTTTTACTGCCTTAAAAAGAAGGAATAACTGGAAAAGTTTGGCATCGCTGGTATCGTTGATGATTGGTCTCGTGATGATCATCAGACCATGGCAAACATATGCGTAACCAGCTTTCTCAAGCTGTTTTCTGACGCCAGCCGTTTCATGTCTTTCCTTTGCTTCTGCATTTTACACTAGCCTTGCTTTGAATTTTCTTAATCTTATAGATCAACTTACTGTATTCTACTATTCCACCAGTATAGGTTTAGGCGCATCCAAACAATTTTCCCCAAGAAAACCCCGAAATATAGGTAAAATCCTTAAAATTATAATGGTAATAATTGAAGAACAAAGAATAAGGTCTTCAGGGGTTGAACAATCCCTTCTGAGGGATGGATGCGCCCACGCACTCGATTTCCCTTCAGAATCGTAGTGGCGTAATGAGTGCGTACGTGGCCATGACTTGCGGTGGCCAGCCGATGTACAAATCAGCGTTTTTACCCTTCCAGACGAGCCTGGTCCCAGTAACCGGCTCCGAAGATATGGAAGGCTTGGTTGCCCCGGGTGGATATTAATCTAGGATTCGACCCCATGACCCTGCTTGTATAAAGTGCGTCACTTGCCACTACACCACCTCTATCCTTCCTCATACTCTTGCAATTAATTAGTCTGTCCTTTTCCATTTCGAATCCTGGCGATATTACAACACATCCATTTTTTGTTACTTTACAACAAACTTACCAAAGATAGCGTTGTAGGATCGTAAAAACAAACTTTGCCGACATCTCTTGCCTTTCAGATATAATCGAAGCGAGGTCACCCACGATCAGAAGCGTATCCGGAAGGGATTTTAATTTATGGAGTTCTCAAAACTTTTTTTCTGTTCCAAGAACAGAAACATTGGTTTGACTGACAAGATCCACTATAGATGGTGATGATGTTGTTCCAATCTTTGGACCGATATTCCAAAAAGGAGGAAGGGTACATCAACAAATTAGCTTCACCAGAAAGAGCATCCGTGAATTTCACAATCTTACGTAGAAAAACCATAAGCCGATCGGGCAGCTCATTAGCTCGCACGTCTCTGTACCGCCTAGGATATCACGTCACGAAACTTCAGGCTGAACACAGCCTTCCTGTCGATTTCTGTTGATTCCTGAAGTCACTGCTCAAGTGTATTCGCACAAAATTTCTACCTTTTTACAAAAAAACTGCACTAACATTTGATAAGGCAGAGGTGGTGTAGCTTCAAGGGGCGCACTATCCACCCACATGATCACGGGTTTGAATCCCGACCGATATTCGCATAAACCAACCAGGCGTTCCATCCCTTTAGGGTCAGTTAATTGGTACTAGACTTGTCTGGGAGATAAAAACTTGACTTGTGCATCGGTTGGTGATTCAGGCCCAAAGGCTTTATCCTTGTTTTAACCTATTGAATAACTTACAGTCTTCTACGCCTCTGTTTGGTCTATACCGTCTGAGGAACGAACTTTTGAAGTTTCAGCTAGAAAAAGTCGTTTTCAATCGGGTTCAGCTGCCATTTTTGCTTCTGAAGATTTGTAAAGCGATTTGATATCTTGCCCATTACAGTAGGCTTGGCTGGTTGCCTTTTCTACTTTGTAAAGTTCAATTGTGCCTTCACCACGGCCTGATTTGCGCTGTCGTCAGCAACCAGTTCACTTAAGCGGCCTTGATGTCCCTCCTTATTCTCTCGATATGTTCATCGTGACAGTTCATCGTTGGCTCCGTGCACTGTTCCTGTCACTTTTGCACAACGCTCAGATTTTCTTCTCCCAAAGCGAGACTTCAAGACGGGTTCAACTTTTACCGTAATCCCACATTGCTTTTAAATAGTCGTAAAATGGACTGCCATGTAGGCAATAGATGCATAATAGTTGCATGCAACATCAGTGGGGTTACGGTAGGAACTTGAACCTGTTTGAATGCATCACAAGTTCTTCTCTTGCTTTGAATACTAAAGGAATGTCTCCCGGGAGGGATCACCCTTCGCTGTCCCCGGGGCATATCCACGGTAATACTCAAGAACGGAAGTCTAGGAGCGATCTGCCTAGGTGCTGTAACGGGTCTGAGAAACTTAGGATGCTTCGAATCACTTGATTTCCGATGAAATCGCTGGAAATCAGGTCATTCTTGTGGGAATGGCCCTGATTTGAAGTTCGTACTTCCCACATGAACCGCTTCACAAATCATGTGGGTCATCCTCTCGGTTGCTCAAACTCCGTTTTTCCACAAGAGTGTATACTTCAGAAAATCGCACTCTGCAGTTAATCTCTCAAAAGGACAAGACGAGGGGTGTGGCTTGAAATCGTTCCAGACAGGACGATTGTGAAAAAGTAACTGATTCGCTGCAGCAAGGCCTCCGAAACCTGCAAGTGCCCTTGATTTGTCAGAGCGAAGAAAAACCGTCCCTCAACAAGCTTTTTCGGAAATCACCGTGGAGACTCTTGAAGACAGCATTTACGATAATTTCAAGTGGATGGAAAAAAGGTATTTGAAGTAGACGGTAGACATTGTCGGTGAATACAAGGGATGTGGAAAAACCCAGCAAAATGAGGTTCCTGCATTTGTAGGTGATTTCGGGCCCGAAGCAAAAACTACCCACTTCACTTCAAGTGCTGTGTGTTCCCGGTTTCGCCACTACAATTTCATTGTTATCTTATTGTGATTAATGGCAACTCTTCAGCACAGCAAGCAAAGAATATTACCGCACGGTATGGCCAGCCCTTACAAAAAGCGCCCTACCACTACCGTGTACCTCTTATAGTGAGACCGTTCCAGATCGCCTTTTCAGTGGCGTCGAGCGTGGCGTCACGAGGTAGGCTCCACCACGGGAGCCTCCTCGATCTATTAACTTTCTATTCTCGGTCACTTCCTCAGGAGTGCCTAGAGGGAGTAGGCTTCAAGGAAACGTCTACACATTCAACAATCCATCACCTATGCATACAACTCCCGCTAGTAGTACCAATCAGATNCAATCAGATTCTCGCTCCAAAATACTGCTTGAAGCAACCTACCAACCTGACCATAACTTCTGGAAAGTGTCCAGAAGGGTGTTTGAGGAAAGAGGAAGCTTTTGTAAAGACTGGAAAGGGGGCATAGAGTAACTATAACGCGTTAACTCGCGATTTCGAGGATGATCCTGCGTGCGGACATGGAGATTTAAAAGGCCCGCGAATTCAGTGGCTCTACAGATATTTCGCAATAGGGTTCCCACAGAACGGATAGTCACTTATATCCGAGACATCGACACACATAACCCGTTTACATTACTTTCTACTCATTGCTTAATTTTGTAATGTTATTGTGTAGTGATTTGCTTAGCCTCAAATTTTCATTGTAACCTTATATGCCTTTGTTATACCTGCATTTTTTACCTCAGTAATCTGTTATCAATCTCTTTCCTAACTCTGAAAATATCATTATACATAAGTTCTCCTGACGATATATTTTCTAGCAGTATCATAGCGTTTCTCAGTTCTGGTATTGCTGGCGTATATTGTATTGACGGTTTAATTATCCAAGCTTGAGATTTCATCAGAAATCTTGAACTGGGCTATTCTGATGTATCGCCGCGCTCTTTTGCAAGGCGAACTTCTTGTGAATTTACAGTTTGATCTTCCTTTAAGTCGCACAGTTTCGTGTTTTGCAAGATTCCTCTACTGTGGAGAGCAGTTACTGGATCAATGAAATCGATCATGGCTTCAGACGAGAACATGAGGGAAGTCAAATCTGGATTAAATAAAAACTCAGCAGTAGAGCCATCGCCACAGGCTTCAGAGGAGGATGAGAAGAAACTCAAAATGTCAGTGGCTAAAAGAATGTGTGGACAACTGTATAAAGAAGGGAAACAAAGCAGACTGGCAGCAACCTTTTTGAGCAGTGGCGATCGAATTGGAAACGGGAAACTGCTTTTCCAGGGCAATAGCACATCCGAGAATTACCGAAAACGTCCACCGTTCATCTTCCAGCGATTCCTTTGCCGACTTTTAGTGGCAAAAGCGAGGATCTTACGAGTTTTTGGGCCCTGTATGAAACAAACGTCCATTTAGCAAGTTGATCAAATTCAACTATTTGGTTAACTCCCTACGGGGAAACGCACGCGAGTTATTGAAAAAAATTCTAATAACGGAGGCGAATTGTGGCTACGCAATACAACTTCCGAG